CACAGATTTCATCCCAAGCTTGCCCTAGGCCCCTCCTGCTGTTCCACAGCTCCCTTCAGCTAGGCAAGAAGGATGTGCCAAATTTTCCTTCCTTCACTCGAGCACTGGCTCCCCTCACTCCTGGCCAACACAAGTCTCCTGAAATCAGCCTTGAAACTGACAGGCAATATATTAGCTACTCAGACTACCTTAACAAAATACCTCAAACTGGGTGGCTTAAACCACAGACGTGTATTTTCTCACAGTTCTGGAGGTTGGAAGTTCAAGATCAAGGTGCTAGTAGGGTTGGTTTCTGGCAAGGCTTCTCTTCCTGGCTTGTAGACAGCCAGCCGCCTTCTTTCTCTGTCCTCAGGCAGCTTTTCCTCTGGGCGCCCACAGGGAGAGAGGGAGGGAGCTTTGGAGTCTCTTCCTCCTCTAATGAGGACACCGGTTCTATCAGATTAGGGCCCTGGCCTTATGGCCTCATTTAACCTTAATTATCCCCATCTCCAAATACAGTCACATTGAGGATTAAAGCTTCAAAAAGGAATTTGCTGAATTCACAATTCAGTTCATAGCAGACAACAAAGGAAGCACCACCTTGAGCAGTTGAGGGAGGTCCCGGCTCCCTCCTTTTCCCCAGGTGCATTCCTGAGATGTGGCTGTGCAGAAAGGAGAGGAGTAAGGACAGGAATGAACACAGCCTCTCTTCGCAGACATAGAAATCTTTAATGCTTGCAAAGTACTGCACGTTTTTGGTTTTGTTTTTTCTTTGAGACAGAGTCTCGCTCTGTTGTCCAGGCTGGAGTGCAGCACTATGATCTTGGCTTACTGCTGCCTCAATTTCCCAGGCTCAAACGATCCTCCCACCTCAGCCTCCCAAAGTGCTGCGATTATAGGCATGAGCTACCATGCCTGGCCAGTACTGCACATCTTTCAAAAGTTATAACTTAAATTTTAAAAGTTATAATTTATATATGATAAAGTTCACCCTAAAAGACATATAGTTCTCCAAGTTTTGACAAAGAAAAACAGTTGAGTAGCCACCACCACAGCAGCCAGAAGGATCCTGTTGCAACCTGAGTCAGCCCAGGACCCTCCTCTGCTCAGAGCCCTGCCATACTCTCATCTGTCTCAGAGAAAAAGCCAACGTCCTCTCCATGGCCCACGAGGCCCTGCAGGCCCTTCCTGATTTCACTGCCCACCACTGGCCCCTGGCTCACTCTGCTCCTGCCCCACTGGCCTTCTTGCTGTTCCTCAAATGTGCCAGGCACCTCAGGGCCATTGCCTTTCTGTTTTTGAGACACAGTCTTGGCCTATTATCCAGTCTGGAGTGCAGTGGCACAATCTCAGCTCACTGCAACCTCCACCTCCCAGGTTCAAGCGATTCTCCTGCCTCAGCCTCCCAAGTAGCTGGGTTTATAGGTGTGTACCACCACACCCAGCTAGTTTTTGTATTTTTAGTAGAGACGGGGTTTCACCATGTTGCCCAGGCTGGTCTCAAACTCCTGACCTCAGGTGATCCGCCTTGGCCTCCCAAAGTGTTGGGATTACAGGTGTGAGTCACTGCGCCTGGCTTTTCACCTTTCTGTGGATCACCATTCCTCTAGATACAACCTCCCAGCCACACTGATAGGGAATAGCACACTCCCAGGTTTACATGAACTGCTGTAGGACCTTCCCAGGGTCACACAGCCTGGGGTGTGGATCCTCTTGGAATCACACAGGTGAGGGTGTAGACACACATGACGTTACTAGATTTTGGAGTAAGAAATCCTGGGGTCAGTCTGGGCACGGTGGCTCACGCCTGTAATTCTAGCATTTTGGGAGGCTGAGGCAGGTGGATTACCTGAGGTCAGGAGTTCAAGACCAGCTTGATAAACATGGAGAAACGCCGTGTCTACTAAAAATACAAAATTAGCCAGGCGTGGTGGTGGGTGCCCGTAAACCCAGCTACCTGGGAGGCTGAGGCAGGAGAATCGCTTGAACCCAGGAAGTGGAGGTTGTGGTGAGCCAAGATTGTGCCATTGGACTCCAGCCTGGGCAACAAGAGCGAAACTCTGCCTGAAAAAACCAAAAAAAACAAAGAAATCAAACCAGAAATCCTGGGCTCATGCCGATTGTGGTGTAGCCCTTCCTGAGGTCACACAGAATAGGATGTGGCCACTCCTGAAGCATCACAAACTGGGATGTGTTCTCTTAGGGTTATACAGATTGGTGTGTGGGCACACTGGAGTCACGTGGACTGATTTAGGATACCTCTTGGATCACTGAGGTTGAGGTGTGGACACTTGGGGTCACACAGTCTGGAACAAGGACATGGCTGAGGATACATAAGCTGGGAAGTCAGCACCACTTCAGTCAAGTGACTGTGATGTGAACACTCCTGGATTCCCATAGGCTCGGCTGGGGACACTCCTGTGGTTACACAACTTGTGAAGTGGACTCTGCTGGGGTCACACAGACCCAGCTGTGGATATGCTTCATTTTTGTGACTGCAGGGTGAATGCCCTCTGAGTCACAAAGATTGGGGAAGGGACAGCCCTGGGCCCCCAAGACTTGGTGTGGATCCTTTTACACTCCCACTGACTGGGGGGAGGGACACTCCTGGAGTCACACAGACTGTGTTGTGGACACTGTTGAGGTCACACCCGCTGGAGTATAAACACCTCTCAGGACATGCAAATAGGTGTGGGCACTCCTGTGGTCACACAATTGTGTGAACATTCCTCTAGTCACATTGACTGGGGAATTAACTCCTGTGTGGTCACAGATACTAGGGTGTGAAAACTCCTATGGTGACACAGACAGGGGTGTGCCCTTCTCTGGGCTACCCAGCCTGGAATGTGGACCCACCAGTAGTCACTGGCACTGGAGTTTCACACTCCTGTGGTCACAATGACAGGGGAGTCAATAGTCTCCTAGTCATACAGATCGGGGGAGTGCACCTGCCTAAGGCTATCAAGAAGGGTACAGACACACTAATAGCCAGAGAATATGGGGTTTGGACAACACCAGGGTCATGTACACTGAGAACTGGACATTACTCGTGTCATAAAAACTTGGGTGGGGACACTCCTGAGGTGGCTGGACTGGGGCAACACCACTTCCAGAACACCACAGATGGAGCTGTGGATACCCATGGGGTCACCCAGACTAGAGTTTGGACTCCTCTATGGTCACAGTTTGAGGTACACATTCATGGCACCACTAAGATGGCTATGGAAACTCTGGCTGGGCATGGTGGCTCACACCTGTAATCCCAGCACTTTGGGAGGCCGAGGCGGGTGGATCACAAGGTCAAGAGTTCAAGACCAGCCTGACCAATATAGAGAAACCCATCTCTACTAAAAATACAAAATTAGCCAGGCATGGTGGCATGTGCCTGTAATCCCAACTACTTGGGTGCCTGAGGCAGGAGAATCACTTGAACCCGGGAGGTGGAGGTTGCGGTGAGCCGAGATCACACCATTGCACTCCACCCTGGGCAACAGAAGGTCCATCTCAAAAAAATAAAAAAGGAAACTCCAAGCCATTGCCACTGCTGGACTCACAGAGCCTGGTGTGAGGACACTCCTGAGGTCTCACAGGCTCTCGTGTGAATGCTGCTGAATTTGCACTGTAATAGGTGTGGCTACACCTGTGGCTTTTTGTGTGGACACTTCCACCATACGTTCTTGGGCTGTGCATATTCATAAATTGGGGTGTGGACATTCCTGTGGTCACACAGACTTTGGTGAGAAGACTCCTGGGTTAAGTCACCATGGTGTGGACACTCCTAGACTGACACAAAGTGGGGTCTGGACATTCCTGTAGTCACATGGACTGGGGTGTGGTTATTCTTGTGGTCAGAGACTGGAGTGTAGACATGCCTAGAAACACACACTCCAGAGTTTAAGCACCGTTTCTGACTGGAGATTGGACAATGCTTGTCCCAGACTTGAGTACGTATACTCCTGGGGTCACACACTGTGACTGGGGTGAGTCACAGTCAGGTGTGGAAAGAGCTGGGGTCGCAGACTGGTATGTGGATACTCCTGAGGTCATTGGACTATGGTGTGTATAGCCCTTGGGTCACCGAGTGAGTGAGTGTTTCTAAGGACACAGGATTAAGCTGTAGAAAACAGTTCTGCTCATGTAGCTGGGGAGTTTCTGTCAGCTCCTGCTTGTTAAGTTATAGAAATTTAGGACTGCAGTCCAGGTAGACTTTCTGATGTTTCTTTAAGACAGGTTCTTAACCAAAAAAATTTGTTCTGGAGGCCGGGTGCAGTGGCTCATGCCTGTTATCCCAGCACTTTAAGAGGCTGAGGCGGGCGGATCACCTGAGGTCAGGAGTTCAAGACCAGCCTGGCCAACATGGTGAAACCCCATCTCCACTAAAATTACCAAAATTAGCTGGGCACGGTGGCGGGCACCTGTAATCCCAGTTACTCAGGAAGCTAGGGCAGAATTGCTTGAACCTGGGAGGCAGAGGTTGCAGTGAGTTGAGATCATACCACTGCACTCCAGCCTGTGTTGACAAGAGCGAGACTCTTTCTCCCCCCCCCACCCAAAAAAAGAGAAAAAGAAAAAAGAGGCTGAGGTGGGTGGATCACTTGAGGCAAGGAGTTTGAGACCAGCCTGGCCAATATGGCAAAACCTCAGTTCTACCAAAAATACAAAAAATTTGCTGGGCATAATGGTGCATGCCTGTAGTCTCAGCTACTCAAGAGGCTGAGGCAGGAGAATCACTTGAAGCCGGGAGGTGGAGAATCACTTGAACCCGGGAGGTAGTGAGCCAAGATCATGCCATTGCACTCCAGCCTGGGCAACAGAGCGAGACTCTGTCTCAAAATAAATAAATAAATTTGTTCTGGGGAACCCTTAGGCATCTGGTTAAATCAGTGAACCCCTTCACAGAATATTTTTAAAGGTACAGACACATACACACACACACACACACACACACACACACACACGATTATAAGGGAAACCAATTACATTGAATTACAGTTACTAATATATATTAAATTGAAACAAAATTGAGATGCAGTAATATATGGGCTTTTAAATTAATACATCAAATTATAAGATCTGCTATCATTCCAAGAGGTGACAAATACGAACAATATTTCAAGATGCCCTTTTTATGTTACATTACAGTTGTAACTGGTTTGTATTGGTGGGAAAACCCCAGGTACTGCTTTTACTATTGTGATTTGTTACCAGCATTTATAACTTGGGAGTAAGGCCAAATTTCAGTTATATTACCGAAAATGAAGATGTAACATGTTCTCCCATCAAGTTCCTGGTTACCCCTGGCTTCTATCCAGGTCTTTAAGAATCCTTCCTGTTAGGGGAAATTCTGGATATAATCAGGACACTCCTGAAGATGTTTAAAGAGGTAAGACCTCACCCAAGAATTCCCACTGCAGTGCAGACAGGCTTCTGTGGTTTCGTTCCTTGTTGTCTTCAGGGTTGTTGCAGTTCCCTCCTCAGACCTTGTTTGTCCAGGCCTCGTTGTTGAGATGATATTTTGAAAACAAGTTCATCAACAAGTTCCGGTTTTCCTGACATTGAGCAGTCTCTGAGTTGTATCAGCTTGCCAGCTAACCAAAAGTCAAAGAAAGTATTTTTTTTTTTTTTTATAGTCTCGCTCTGTCACCCAGGCTAGAGTACAGTGGTGCAATCATAGCTCACGAAAGCCTCAACCTAAGCTCAAGTGATCCTCCTGCCTCAGCCTCCCAAGTAGCTGGGATTACAGGCAGGCATGTGCCACCACACCCAGCTAACTCTGCTGCTAACATTTCTGTGACATTTCCTCTTACTTTTATGGTGAACTGTAACATATAGAAAATACATAAAACATATGTATGTTCAGTTGAATGAATAAGTACAAGGTGTTACTTGGTATAATTGCAGGATGTTCACTGTCATTGTGCAGTTCTTCACCGTGAGTATACCATGATGGAATGGGCATACTACAGATAGTGCTGCTGGCAACACTCTAGGACTCAATTCTTTCTTTCTTTTTTTTTTTTTTGAGATGAAGTTTCATTCTTATTGCCCAGGCTAGAGTGCAATGGCACAATCTTTGTTTACTGCAACCTCCACCTCCTGGGTTCAAGCCTCCCAAGTAACTGGGATTACAGGCATGTGCCACCACACCCAGCTGATTTTGTATTTTCAGTAGAGACAGCATTTCACCATGTTGGTCAGGCTGGTCTCAAACTCCTGACCTCAGGTGATCCACCCACCTCAGCCTCCCAAAGTACTGGGATTACATGCGTGAACCACCCCACATGACCTTTTTTTTTTTTTGAGACGGAGTCTTACTCTGTTGCCCAGGCTGGAGTGCAGTGGTGCGTTCTCAGCTCACTGCAACCTCCACCTCCCGAGTTCAAGCAATTCTCCTGCCTCAGCCTTCTGAGTAGCTGGGATTACAGGCGGCTGCCACCATGCCGGGTCTCTAGGATTCATTTCTTAGGAGTGGAACTCGTACCCATGCAGCTTTAGTAGATAATGCCTAATGGTTTTCCACAGTGGCTGTACCATTTTACATTCCCAGTAGTGTGTATGAGGCTTTCAATTGCTGCATATCCTTCCAAATACTTAGTCTTGTCAATATTTTGAGTTTTCACTTCCATTTTCCTGATGAGCAGCTTTTCATACACTTACTGGCCATTCTCATTTTTTTCTTATTGATTTATGGGACCCTTTAAATATTAGAAATTGTCAATCTCTTTTCACACAATGACTTGCTGTTTCAATTTCTCTTAAGGTGACTTCTTGTGGCTGGGTGTGGTGGCTCATGCCTGTAATCCCAACACTTTGGGAGGCCTGAGCCAGGCAGATCTTGTGAGGTCAGGAGTTCAAGACCAGCCTGGCCAACATGGCAAAACCGCTTCTCTACTAAAAACACAAAAATCAGCCAGGTAAGGTGGTGGCATGTATCTGTAATCCCAGCTACTCAGGAGGTGGAGGCAGGAGAATCTCTTGAACCCAGGAGGCAGAGGTTGGAGTGAGCTGAGATAGTGCCACTGCACTCCATCCAGCCTGGGCGACACAGCAAGACTCCCTCCATCTCAAAACAAAACAAAACAAAAAAGGTCAGGCGCGGTGGCTCACACCTGTAATCCCAGAATTTTGGGAGGCCGAGGTGGGTGGATCACCTGAGGTCAGGAGTTCGAGAGCAGTCTGGCCAACATGGCGAAACCCTGTCTCTACTAAAAATACAAAAATTAGTTATGCATGGCGGTGGGTGCCTGTAATCCCAGCTACTCAGGAGGCTGAGACTGTCATTGCACTCCAGCCTGGGTGACAGGGCAATCCTCCATCTCAAAAAAAAGGTGGCTTTTTGTGATGGCAGACTTAGTCTGAATATCCTCCTATGTAATTGTCAGAAAGGACCATCCTCTAAGGTCAGTTTTAGCACATGTGGCTATATGGATAAACTTTCCTCCTATACCACATGTGGTTCCACCTTTGGGACTTGGCAATTTCCTTTACCCAGAATGCTCTTCCCTCCAATAAATACACAGCTTCCCTCCAGTGGTACGTTCAGGTCTTTGCTCAAACATTACACTGTGAGGAATGTCTAAGGCCTTCTGTGACAATCCTTTTTAAAAAGTGCAAACTGACTGGGTGCAACAGCTCATGCCTATAATCCTGGTTCTTTGGGAGGCCGAGGAGGGCAGACTGCTTGAGCCCAGTAGATCAAGATGAGCCTGGGCAACATGGTGAAACTCAATCTCCCCCCAAAATACAAAATTTGCTGGGCCTGGTGGTGCATGACTGTAGTCCCAGTTACTTGGGAAGCTGAGGTAGGAGGATTGTTTGAACCTGGAAGATGGCACCACTGAACTCCTGGGCGACAGAGTGAGACCTTGTCTCAAAAAAAAAACCACACCAAAAGATGAAAACTGCCATGCCTAGAATTCCTGATTCTCTTCACCCTGATTTACCTTTTTCTATTTTTTATAGCCCATATTACTCTTACATGTTACATATATTGCAAGGTATGTAAATGGAGAAATGCAAGCTATATAGTGTGTGTGTGCGTATATGTAAACTCTTGCACTCACAGACTGTTTTATTGATTGTTGCCTCTTTCCCAAACTGGAAGCTCTGTGAGAGCCAAGATGTTTGTTTTGCTCCCTGCTCTATCTCCAAACCTAGAACAACGCCTGGCACACATTATGTGCTCAATAAATGTTTACTGAATGCCTCAAATGTAAAATGCTTAAAGCAGTTCCTAACATATAACAACAGATATTTAGAAAAGGGCTTGTTGATTAAAATCTTATCAGTTGACATAAAAATTTCAAAGGTGAAATTTTACTGAGGTTTTTCATAAAAGTGGCCCTTACTCAAACCCTTAGATAACCAGGCAAACTTACCATAATGGGTTAAGGTGAACAACTCATTTCATTGTCTTCCATTTACCCAAGAAAAAGATAAGTGACTCACATGTTTGGTGAAACTTTTCCATTCATTATGCTTGGTTTTACCAATTTTTTATAGCTATTGGGAGGCAGGAAAGAGAATTTTGGCCCCAGAAACCATGAGGTTTGGGTCAGAAAGAGGGGAAGGGGTCAATGCAGGCTCAGAGTCACATTTCCAGACCTCAGAGGCCAGCAGTGTGTGGCACTGAGGGGCGGCTAGGGGCTGGGGAAATGTGTCTACTCTGCTGATGGGGCAGTCCTGGGGGCGGATCTCCTTGGCCAGCTGCCCCTTCTTCTTCAATGTGCAGGCCTCCTGGTATGGTGGTGAGATGGGGGGCTGTGTAGGTGGAGTATACTTGTACTCGGAGCCATCCTCTAGCTGCAGGGACAGAGGAGTAGGGAGACAGTCAGGACCTGGGAACCTAGGACAGCCCTTCCTCCCACCCACCGACTGTTGGTTGGGCACTCACGTCCAGTGGGTAACTGCGGTCCGAGTCGTAGGAGCTCAGGTCCCCACAGGTCACAAAAGGCACAATGATGCGGGTGGGACCATCCAGCTGGTTGAAATCTGAGTCTTAGGAACAGGGGGAGACAACTGAGGACAAGGTCAGGACGCCTGGGGCCAGTCATGACACAGGCAGCAGCATGGGTGCCAAGCCTTCCCTGCAGATCCACCAGCTACTCTCTTTCCACCCCACCATAAATCCTTCATTTGGCTCGGATCACCTCCTCAGGGAGGCCCTCCGTAATCACCCCTTCTAAAACATCGGTGCCCTGCTGTTTTTCACTGCACTTATATCCACCTGATATTGGATTATATGTGCCTGGATGATGTCTCCCTCACTCAAATGTCATCCCAGGGGCAGGCTCTCTATCTCTTCCCACTAGAGGCTGAAGGGACAAAAGTTTCACATGGAGGAGGCTTCCACCTGGGGGCATGACTGAGATCTTCCTAGAAGACAGTGTCCTTAGGCAGGTGGAGACTCCACTGGGGCAGGGCTCAGGATCCTCCTGGGATGGAACTTTCACCAGGCCTAAGAGTCACCACTACAGGACTGCCTGGGCTGCAGCTCCCCCGGGGACAAAATACCCATAAAGCGTAGAATTTCTACCAGAAAATGGGGCTGAGGATCCCCTTGGGAAAAAAATTCCCATGGGGGGAATAGAGCCTCTACCAGCGGGTGAGGCTGTGGGCCCTCGTGGGACCTAGATTGCATAAGGTGGGGCAGAGTCCCCCAGGGGTGGCCTGTGCTCCAGCTCTCACCGTAAGAGTGGTCCAGCAGGGGTTTGCTCAGGTCCGGCATGAAGCCCTCGGGAGGGTCATAGCCCTGACAGACAGCAAAGGCCTCTGCCGGGGGAATACAGGTGAGGTGTGACTTCCGCTTCCTTCTTGTGCAGGCAGCATCCCAGAGATGCCCCTCCACCTGCCTGGCCCCTCCACCCTACTGACCGATGCTGGAGTTCCGGCTGCTCCTGGGCTTGGCACACAGCACGCTGGAGAAGAAGACCCGCAGCTGGCTGTAGAGGAGCGTCACATCCCGGCCTCGGAATATCTGCAGGGTGGGAAGTCAAAGATAGTGGGTGAGGGTGGCCCTCAGCAACCTCTCTCTACTCCACCAGGTTCCTTGAGACTTACCTTGGCCACAAAGCAGCCCCCTGGCTTCAGGACATGTGTAGCGATGTTCAGAGCCTGTGGGCAGGACAGACAACTGAGGCTGAGGTGGAGACAACCAGGAGAGGGCCAGTGGGTCAGGGGTGGCCAGGGTTACTCACAGCTAGGAGGAGCTGGGCCTGCATATACTCGTCAACATCATGGAGGCCGGTTACTATGGCAAGAGGAACAGCGTTAGGGGGGCCCATGCGGCTCTGTGCAGCTTCTTGTACCACACAGATCAGAAACTAAAAACATTTTCCAGGCTCTCTTACTGCTAAGCTTCTGGATGCAAATTACTATCTGCCAACTGGATACATATTCTGAGCTCCTAACCTTATAACTCATTTGAATTCTAAAACAACCTCACGTACAAGCATCATTAGCACTTCCACCTCTAGCCCAGACTGCTCCTCTGAACTCGATTCACAAATCATATTCCACATCTCTAACACATCCGCAACCAAATTTCTGACCTTCCTCCCCAAACCTGCGCCTCCCACCACCACCCCTCCCTCATCTCATCTGAGCCTTCTAGTTATTCAGGTCCAAAACCTTAGTCATCTCTGATGCTCCTCCCCGCATCCTCTCCTCACACCCACATTCAAGCCATCAACACATCTACTTTCAAAAGATCTGACTTGACCTTCTTCTCCTCTCCACCACTGCCCCCACCATTCTCACTTGCCTAGACTACTCCACCCTGGAGCCCCTGCTTCTGCCCTTGGCCCTCACACAGCTCACAGCAACCCAAGCCTGGCATAGTCCTCTTCTGCTCACAACCCTCTCATGGTTTTCTCCAAGCTGTTATCTCGTGAAAATGCGAACATCCTCACCATGGCCCATGAGGCCCAAGAGGACTTGTCCCCTGTCACCTCTCTGATGTCACCTCTTACCACTTTCTCCCTCACTCTGTTCCAACCACAGTGATCTTCTTGCCTGTACTCATACATAGCAAACACCCTCCTGCCTCAGGGCCTTTGCACGGGTTGGAATGTTGCCTGGATTGCTCTTCCTCCAGACATATCCATAGCTTACTTCTCCACCTCCTTTAGTCTCTGCTGTTAAGTCAGTGAGGCCTTCCCCATCCACTTCATTTAAAATTCTAACAGGTACTCTCGCCTTCCTCCTGCTCAATGATTTCCCTATGGTACCTATCTCCCACCCCCTTTTTTTAGAGACAGGGTCTCTGTTGCCCAGGCTGGAGTTGTAGTGGTGCGATCATAGCGTACTGTAACCTTGACTTCTTGGGCTCAAGTGATCCTCCTGCCTCAGCCTCCTGAGTAGTTGGGACTATGGGCATGCACCACTATGCCCAGCTAATTTTTGAAGCCAGGGTCTTGCTATGATGCCCAGGCTGGTCTCAAACTCCTAGCCTGAAGTGTTCTTCTCACCTCATTCTCCCAAAGCACTAGGTTACTATCCCCTTTTAATGGTACAAAGCTCAGTCGTTTATTTACTTTTCCATTTGCTCCCACCAGAACATCAGCTCCATGAGGTTAAAGATTAATGAAATTTTATTCATGAATGTTTTCCCGACACAACAGGTGCTCAGTAAATGTATGTTGAATGGCTGGCTGGCTGAAAATGAATGAACAGTGCAACAGAATTGGACAGTTGCAGAGAGATGAGAGCAGGGACAGGTAGGCAACAGACCTGAAACTCAAAGGGTGGGGTGCGAGTGGGAGGAAGAGAGAGGCAGAGAGAGAGCAGGAGCAAAGGTAGGGAGAAGTTGCCAGATGTGGGAGAAAGCTGATAGCAGAAGGGAGAGGCAGGGAGTAATTGAACAGGTGAAGTCAACCAAGGTGGGAGATCCAGAGAAGGACAAACAGGGACCCCGCCTGGCCTCCCACTTTTTGTTGCTATTTACCATCAGGAGCCCCGTCACACACCACTAGGTCCGCAGGGCAGCCCTTAAAGTGCTGGATGATCTCCTTGGCAGTGGACAGCTATGGAGAGAGGGAGGATGAGTGGCCCCATGGCCCTCCACTGCTGCCCTCAGATCCCACCTGCCCATGGTCCTGGCCCTCCCAGGCTTTGCCTGTCTAAGACTGGGCTCCATCTCTGGGGACCCAGCACCATCATTTTCTGCAGTGATGACCTGCTGGCTGTTTCTCCATGGTTACTCTCTCATTCTCTTTCTCTCTCTGTTTCTCTTTGACTCTACATAGACCCCAGGTAAGGGTCTTCACCCAGGATATATCCCAGCTCCCTCAGCCATGCTCTTACCTGAGTGATGTCACCCTGGATCTGTACCACACCTGGTAGTGGAGCCATAGCCTGCAGGTCCACAGCCACCACGTGGCCGGACCCTTGGCCCCTGTGGACAACACAGCCCATGTCAGCCTAGTTTTACTCCCCGGCCCCTCCCACCCAGCCAGCCCTCCTGGGTTTCCCATCTGGGACCCCCACACTTACCCAATCTTCTGGCTCAGCACCTGGCTCCAGCTGCCTGGGGCTGCGCACAGGTCAACTGCCCGTGTCACACCTGGGCACACATAGTGAAAGTGTCCTGGTCAGCTGCACCCACTTCTCCAATCTGGAGACCCCTGCAAAGCTCACCCCTCTCCCCTGGGGAGCACCCACATCTCTCCACTACCCAGGTGCCCAACTCCTCTCTGGTATTCTGCCTATCTTCCTGCCTGTCTCCCTGCCCCAGAGACCCTCTGAGCCAGCCCACCTACCAGACGGAGCTCTGTAGACCCAGCCGACTTGTCTATCTCCTGTGCCCACCTCACCACCCAGTGACCTGCCCGCCAGTCAGGGACCTTGAAAGAGATGAAATTCCTTGTCCAGTTGTAGCAGTTTGAAGGCGCTGCGAGCACGCCAGCCATTCTCCTTGGCCAGGCGGTAGTAGACATCCCGCTTGTCCTTCGACGTCCGTCCCATCTCACACACCACTTGCCCAAGGACCTGCAGACAGTCAGCTGATGCCTCCCAGTATCAGTAACCAGGTGACCACCTACCTCTGTAGGTTGGAGAGAACCACACAAACTGAACTGGGCTCATCTGACCCACGTGACAGCTTACACAGAAGATGGGCTGACTAAAGCCCTGGCACTGACCCCATTGACCTTATAGGGCCTGAAGGATCCTATCACTGAACTCTCAGGCTCCATTGCTTATCACACAGACCCTCTGCCCCCATCACTTACCCCACAGTTCCCACAAAAGATCCCATAAACCCAGCATTCATCCCATAGATGGCCTACTTGTGAACCTGTTCACCTCCCATCACTGTCCCACACTCCACACATTAAACCCTGTAACTGTCACTGTCAACCCTTCTCTGCCCATGTCATGCCCATTAACATCGCACTGTCTCCCCAGTTGTCCCCATTGTCCCTAGATTCATATAGTCCTATTAGCCCCCCATTAATCCCTTGCTTTGCACCATTATTCTAATACAACCTCATTGTACCTCCCACTCCCTATATCTCTCTCATTCTACCCCATTCCCCATTAATCCCTTAAACAGTCCCATTATTACTACATCCTTATGAACCTCTATTAATGCCTGGAGAATCATGGCTATTAGATCCCCATTGAGCACGCAATTACTGATTTATCAGCCCCCATTAACTTAGTTTTCTCCAATAGACCCTTCAGAGATCACAGCACTAGTCCCCTGCCCTGTAACCCTTTCATTAACAAACACATTACTCCCTGATAATCACTCATCAGTTCCCCATTTTTCCCTCACTGTCCACCCCACTCTCCATGGATCCATCACTGGATAATCACACTCCAACAGTTTACTATTCACCTACTATGTACCCACAAAAGTTAAATCCCTCAAAACCCTAGTTTACTACCTCTCTTTGCTCATTCTGTCCCCATTAATTAGTCAATGGTCATGCCACCATAGCCCAACTACTGACTCTGACTACAACACCATCAGCCTCTCATTATCTCTTCTCTCACCACGGCCCCTTGATCATGACCTCCATCGATCGGCTGATTCCCCCCACAGCCTCACCATCATCCTTGACATTACTATGCCCCATCACTTTCCATTAACCTGTTGAATATCATACCTCCATCAATCCATCGGGGATCAATTTCCCATCCACCACTCGTTGTATTCTAGTTGCTTACTCTGCCACCCTCTCATTAATCAATCAATGAACACTTCGACTAAAATACTCTTATTCGCCCCCATTGATTCCTCAGTAACACCCGACACTTGTGCTCCACTCAACCTCCCATTAAACAGCCTTCAGACCACACTCCCCGTCCCTCCTCAATACCTCAAAGACCACAGCTCCATCGGGACCACTAGGTCCGCCTCCAGGCAGCTCTGACCGCTGCATCCCATGTCCCCACCTTGAACCCATCCCGCCTACTGGTCCCTTTCTGCAGACAAACCTTGGGTCTAGAGACCACTAGGTGCCAGCCGCCGGACCTCCCTCCTTCCCCCACCGGTGGGGCAGTGCAGGCGTGCCTCAGCAGCCTCCGCCCGCATCCCTGCCCTCCGCACCCCAGGGCCCACCTTAGTTTCTGAGTCAGGGTGGTCCTCGAGCAGCCTGTGCCTCCGCGAGAGCGCAAACGGGTTAGTCGTAGGGCTTCAGTTCGTGTTCCTAGTCCACCCGAATGTCCGGCGGGCAAACCTATGGGCTGTGGCAGTTTGGCAAACTCGGCATCGTGGACCGCCCAGGCTCCGGCGTGCGGGACCCGATCTCAACGTACAACGTGAGTCCCGTCATCTTGTGTCGACGTAACTGGGGCTCGCGAACTGCATTTCCCGGCATGCAACGGGCACGGCCAAAGCGGCTAAATCCACGATCTGCGTGGCTGCAGCGCCGTGACGCGCAAGCTGTCAGCGATTCTTTGTTCTTTTTATTCCGAGGCCAAGATCGATTTGCTTCCCCGCCCCTCCCTTCTTGGACTTTGCTTGTCATTGAGCCTGTAAACTACATTTCCCAAGATGCCACGCGCACGATGGCGCCCATTCATTTTTCGCGTGCCGGGAGGCTAAATTACCGCTGGAGGCATAAACGTGACAGTAAGGAAAATGTGTTCTTGAAGTGACTAGCGCCCGGAGGCTGCTCTGCTGCAATGTCAGATCGCACTATAGCTAGTGGATGGCGCTGCTTAAGTTGTACCGCTTCAGAACTTCAGTTTCCCTGTCTGAAAAATGGGGATAATCAATAGTACAGACTTCACGGCATTACTTGGAGGTTAAATAGGTGTAGTTTAGCCACTCTGACCTTTTGTAATTCTGTCATCTTCAAACATTTTAAATTACAACCCAGACACAAAAAAAGACTATGCATCCTGACCCAGTGGACAAACGGAAATATAATGAAAACGTTTATCATAGCGTTTACCATGTACTAAGCTCTAAATACCCTCAGTGGTGTGCTGGTAAATGGTTAACCACTGGCTGGAGCAGGGGTGGTGGCGGGGGGAAGGGAGACTGGTTTCTAGCATTTGCCAATTTCCGTGGCTTAGGTACAAGCTTCTTGTTAGATTTCATGGTACCGACCTGTGGTCACTGAACAGGGAGTTCAAAAGAGATGCAGTAGTGCACTATCATGTATTATTTTTACCATACAGATAAAATGGAGCTAAATGACCTCAAGAACATAGAGAATAGTGGAATGAGGTAAAATAATTAGGAAGTGACGAATTTTGAGTAAGTTTATATCATTTCTTTTTTTGAGATGAAGTCTCACTCTTGTCCCCCAGGCTGAAGTGCAATGGTGCCATCTCAGCTCACTGCGACCTCTGCCTCCCAGGTTCAAATGATTCTCCTGCCTCAGCCTCCTGAATAGCTGGAATTACAGGCACCAGTCACTATGTCTGGCTAATTTTTCTATTTTTAGTAGGGACGAGGGTTTCACCATGTTGGCCAGGGTGATCTCGAACTCCTGACCTCAGGTGATCCACCTGCCTCAGATTCCCAAAGTGCTGGGATTACAGGCGTGAGCCACTGCACCTGGCCACATAATTTCGTTTTTAACCATAGCTGTTTAACTTTAGGAGACTGAGGTGGAAGGATCGCTTGAGTCCAGGAGTTCAAGACCAGCCTGAGCAATATGATGAGATCCGCATCTACAAAAAATAAAAATAGCTGGGCATGGTGGTGTGCGTGAGTAGTTCCAGCTACTTGAGAGGCTGAGATGGGAGGATTACATGAGCCTTGATTGTGCCATTGCACTCCAGTGTGGGTGACAGAGTGAGATCCTGTCTTAACAAACAAAACCAGTTGTTAAACCAGCTGTTTAACAACCAATTTGCAAAATTCCTGAAAATTGAATAGCTCCTCCCAACTTGTACAAGTTGGCTCCAGCATGTCCTTCCCTTTGTTCATTCATTTTAATCCTGACAACATGCATATGAGTATTAGCCAGGGACTGTGGCTTGCACCTTTAGTCTCAGCTACTCCAGAGGCTGAATCGGGAGGATCCCTGGAGCCCAGGGGTTCGAATCCAGCCTGGGCAACTTGGTGAAAACACATGTCTCTTTAAATAATAAAAGGACCGGGTGAGGTGGCTCACCCTTGTAAGCCCAGAACTTTGGGAGGCGAGAGGTGGGTGGATCAGTCGAGGTTAGGAGTTGGAGACCAGACTGGCGAACATAGTGAAACCCTGTCTCTACTAAAAATACAAAAATTAGCTGGGCATGGTGGTTCACACTTCTAGTCCCAGCTACTCAGGAAACCAAGGTGGGAGGATGGCTTGAACCCAGGAGGCAGAGGTGGCAGTGAGCTGACATCGTGCTACTGCATTCCAGCTTAGGTAACAGAGTGAGACCCTGCCTCAAAAAACAAACAAACAAGCAAACAAACAAACAAACAAAAATCTGGATGCTGTGACTCACGCCTGTAATCCTCACACTTTGGGAGGCCAAGGCAGTAGGACTGCTTGAGGCCAGGCGTTCATGACCAGCCTGGCCAACATAGTGAGACCTCATCTCTACAAGAAATAATTTAAAAATTAGCTGGGCATGGTGGTATTCGTCCATAGTCCCAGTTATTTGAGAGGCTAAGGCAGGAGGATCGCTTGAGCATAGGAATTTGAGGTTTCAATGAGCTGATCATGCCACTGCTCTCCGGCCTGGGCAACACAGTGAGACCCTGTTTCAAGAAAAAAAAATAATAAAGAACGGAATGATTGATTCCTTAGCACACGAGCTTCACCAGGCAGGGATTCCTGTTCTGTTATGTTCACTGCTGCCTCCCAGTGCTTGGAACAGGGGTGGTGCACAGTTGATGTTCAACAAATGTTGGTTGAATTCATCCTTTTGTTGCTTCGTTCCTTCATTTTTACCCCAGTGGTGCGTCCTGCATTTTCATGGAGCCCTGGGTGGAGGCGTAGAGACTCTGAGAATAAGGGAAGAAGCCAGAGCTTTGTCAGCAGAACTCAAGGGCATTGTGGGGACTGTGGGAACAGGACTCCCCTGCAGAGGCGAGCAAGTGTGAGAAAGGAAGGGTTCGAGCCACCAGGCCTCCGCTCCACAAGAGAGGAGGGGGTGCCAGGCATTGGGGGCCTATGTTCACCCTGTGGGACGCTTCCCACGTCCTGTTTTCTTGCTGCTCACGAAGAGGATGTTTAACTTTTAGCAAAGGAACTTGCTTCCTCCAGCAGGGCCGGGGGTTTGGGGGACAGGAGCCTGCCTCTGAACTCTCCAGGATCTTCCCGAAGTAGGGTGTCGGCCTGCAGCTCCCACCCGACACCCCACTGAGTGTAAAGGTGTCCTCCCCTTGGCCTCCTGGAGAGGTCAAGGAAGAGGGAGCTGCCAGGCCGGCTCTTTCCCGGAGGGGGCATCTTAGCAGTGGGAGAGAAAGAGGGGGGTGGCCCAGGGGCAGGGGACTAGGACTTTGCTGCCCAGGGGCTGCTTTGAGGAAAGGAAGCGACTGGACAGAGTTACTCAGTGGGGAGCCTGCATGAAAGGACAGATTGGAATCCCATATGCAGCCCGGCAAGTGGGACTTGGCTTTCACTGAGAAGAAATCATTAATTCCTTCCACAAATATGTATTGAGCAGTTACTATGTGTCAAACATTGTCTTAAGTGCTTTGCCTGTGGTAATTAATTCAATCGTGTCAATAGCCCAGTGAGTTAGGCATTATTCTGCCCTTGAGGAAGCTGAGAGGCAGTGAGGTTTAGGAACTTGCTTGTTTAGCCACACAGCTAATAAGTGGTAGGGCTGAGAAAGCTTTTGCTGTTAACTGCTTCACTGTGTCCCTCCCTCCCCTAGATGCTACCGAGTAGTGCCCTGTTTTAATCAAAGGTCTCCTTAGAATTGATGAGAACCCCCAAAGTGACTTTTAACAGATTTCACAGGACTCCCAAATGTTAGACAAGGGTCTGCTTTACTGAACCAACAAAAACCTTAAATGACCCTGAGAAGGAGCCCTCCTTTGATGAACTAACAAAGTGTTCTTATCCCTGGCGTGGCCTCAAGGCCTCCGTCCTACTTAAAGACATCTGTTCCTTCTACAACAGGTTCCCCCATGCAGCCAGATCACACTTTTCCCTTTGCCTCCCCGCTGCCATACAGGCTTATGGTGTGCGCCCACTATCTGCAGTGCCTAGAAACTTAGCAGAGCTGTGGGGTTCTTAGAGCTGCATAGAGGTTCATCTCTCCCCTAGAAGAGTTCCTGTGGCAGAAATAAGAGTAACGGTAATAATATGATATTATATAAGTGGACTTTATTGAGCACCTACTGTATGCCTGGTAGCCCTGTGTTGGGCCATGCTGGAAGGCCGGTGGGGTCAGGGCCTGGGAGGGAAGGAGAGCAATAAGAGCAGGAGGCTGTGCCAGGGAGGTGGTGAATGGATGCAGAGGGGAGGGGGGTTGTCTATTTTTTTTTTAATTTATTTTGTTGAGATGGAGTTTTGCTCTTGTTGCCCAGGCTGGAGTGCAATGGCATGATCTTGGCTCACCGCAACCTCCGCCTCCTGGGTTCAGGCAATCTCCTGCTTCAGCCTCTTGAGTAGCTGGGATTACAGGTGCCCACCACCATGCCCAGCTAATTTTTGTATTTTTGGTAGAGATGGGGTTTTACCATCTTGGCCAGGCTGATCTTGAACTCCTGACCTCAGGTGATCCGCCCACCTCGGCCTCCCAAAAGTGTTGAGATTACAAGTGTGAGCCACTGCACCCAGTCCATCTATTGTTTTTTTTTTAAATTCAAGATAAGGTATGCTAGTTCTTTGGATGGGACACTTCAGACTTGAAATATGGATACCTGTGTCCCGTCCCCCACCTTTAGCCACGTGGGCCAAGGCCTCTGGTGACAGGTGTGTCTTTCCCTGGCCAGCTGGTAGCACAGATGTGTAATGGCTCTGGGTGGGGGAGGGGTATGAGGGGGGAGATAAATCAGAGTAGATAGGAAAGGAGACAGAGGCAGGAGGAGGCTGGGCAGGGTGTTGTGTGTGTGTGTGTGTGTGAATACGCTGAATGTATCTCACCTGCCTGTTCTCAGCCACAACCACGTGTATGTGAGCTGCACCTGTTTTCCTATGTAACTTGCTTGGTTGGTGCTGTCTGCCTGAGCAGTTCATCTCTTTGGGGTTGTGTGTGTGTTGCTTGGGTGTTTGTCTCCTTTGTAATGGTTGTGGGTGACGAGTGTGTCAGAGTACTTGTCCCTCCTATGTGTATATCTATGTGCACATGTCTTTCTTTGTGTGTCTGCTGCTGTATTTGTATCTCTCCTTAGCAAGTGGCTGCAGGTATGTGTGCCCTCGGGGCGTTTCTTCTGGTGCCATGGTATGAGTACTATCTGCTTCTCCTGTTTCTTCCTTGTGCAGCTTTCGGTGTGGTTTCTGGATTTCTTCTTTGCAACGATAGTAAGCGTACTCTGCATTCCTGTACGTCGTGTTTGTGTGCTGGTATATGCTTTCCCTGTGCGTTTCTTTTCTGACTTGATTTATGACTAGCTGTGTGTGTACACGGCTGTGTGCAGTCATTTGCTGGAATGCAGTTGTGTGTGTGTGTGTGTGTGTGTGTGTGTGCTCGCGCTTGAGAGACAGAGAGAAAGAGACTGTGGCTTTTCTTTTCTTTTTCTTTTTTATTATTTTTTGGCTCCCCTACAATGTAGACTGTGGCTTTTCTGTTTGTACAATCACGTCAGCTTGTGAGTGCCTCTCTGTGTGACTGGAGCTGTATGCGGTTACATGTGGTCACAAGTGCACATACAAGTTCACATACACAGAGAAATCATTCTAGGGTTTGAACCTGGAAGTTTGCCCCTGGGGCCAGCTGAACCTGGATTGTGTGTGTGGGAAAGACCCAGGACCCATGAGCGATGTCATCGGCTGTGTGTAATCGTCTGTGTGCGGCTGTGAGTCTGTGTGTGTGATTTGCCTGTTGGTTGTCTTTGGCATGGCTGTGGGTCCACGGGTGATGCTGAGCAGGAATCTAGAGTGTCTGGAAACCTGCATGAGCCTATCCCTGTGTTAGCTGTGCTCTCTGTGAGTGGCTCTGAGCCTGTGGGTGTTGTTAGCTGTAAGATTATCTATCGTCACTCTGTGTGGCCGCGTGTGGGACTGTCCCATGAGCCTGTGCTCTTCATGTGCAGTGGTGAGTCTGTGTGTGTTCATGTCTGTCAGTCTTTATTCTCTGTGTGTGGCTGTGAGTCTTTGCGCACCTCTGTGAGTGATGGTGAGTCGGCCCCCGTATCTGAGCCCCTCGATGAGACTGTGATTGGGCCTGTTGTGTCGTTGCGATCCCTGAGTGTGCAGGAGTCTCTCTCTCTCCTGCTGTGGGGAAGTAAACGCCCCATCCCTTGTCCTCCTCCAACTTCGGGTGGGGTGAGGGCATCTAGGCCAGCTTTGAAGCCCCAGCCAGCTCCTGGCCTTTCCGGGAATTCTGTGTTCCCTGTGGGGGGTGGGCAGGCGGGCAAGGGGCCCAGACGGAGGCCTCTTGTCCATCTGGGCTTCAAGCAGCCCAGTCGAGGTGGGCCCAGACCCCAAGTCCACCCTGCCTGACATCCTGTAGTGGACACGTGCGTTGTCTTGGACAGGCATGCCTGTCACATGCCTGGAAGGGAGTGAACAGATGGACTCCCATAGAAGACAGACGGACAGACAGATAGTGGGACTTCTCAGGGCTTGGATAAGCCCCACCCCATGCTTGGGGTGGGGTCCAGGACTACAGTGCCCGCCCAGTTTGCAGACAGTGTGAGTTCACAGTCCACATTCCCCACCCAGCCACAAATGCCCTCCTTGCCTCCCTCTGGGGGCCCCCAAGATCTAGGGTCCTCTCGTGACTAGGCTGTCTGCCTGAGGTCTGCCTAGAAGAGCCTGGCTGCTACGCCTGCACCTGTCCCCTGCTGTCCCCAGGCCTCTGTGCCTGAATCTGCCTCTCTCTGCCTCTTCTCTTAATGTCCCCTCCAGGTGTCTCTCTGCCTCAGTCACTCTCTCTGTCCCTTCGTCTCTCTCTGAGCTGGTGTGTCTGGCCCTACCCTCTGTTTGGGGATCTGTCTGGCTCTGTCCCCCACCTCTCTGCCAGCCCGTGTCTCCTGTCTCTGACTGGGCCTCACTGCCTGTTGCCTTTCTGCAGGTGTTTGCACGAGCCTATCCCTACCTACCTGTCTGTTTCTGAGTCCGCCTGTGGGTCCCTTTCTCCCTGCAGCTGCCCTCTGCCTGTCTACCAAGCTCCCCCAGCGTCCCCTCCTCCTTCCCATCTGTCTTTCTGTCCCTTCTGTGGTCTGTCTGTTCCTGTGCTGTTTCTCGTGCCTGCTTATCTCTCTTTGTAACTTCGTTTCTCCTACTCTGTCTGACTCCTCCTCTCTGAACCTCTTTCTGCCACCCATCCCATTCTGCCCTCTGTCTGCTCGTCTGCTCTGTGAGTCCATCCCCTCTGTCTGCCTGTCACTCTCTCTAGCTGTGGGTCTACGCCCTCAATCTTTCAGGCAATTTTCCCTGCCACCACGACACAAACAAACCTCTGTTTCCCTCCAAGTGGGTCCAGATAGGGGGCGCCCCTTCTCCACCTCTTCCCCCGCCCAGGGCCAGAAGGAGGGAAGCGAAATTAAAATTAACATTTCTTCTCAGAAAAAAAAAAAAAAGTACCGCGCCAGAGCAGGAGCTGAGTCAGCCGAGAGGGTCCCCGAACCCAAGTCTGAGTTGCCGCCACTTCAGGAGCTGAGAGGAGCAGGTGGGTGAGGAGGGAGCGTGGGCTTCTGCGGGGATGGTGTTCCTGGGGGCCCTGAGATCTGAGTAGGGGTCCTGGGAGGGGACTTGGGGTTCCTTGGAGAAATTTTAGCACTTGTGGAGAATGGCATGGCGGTGGCGGGGGGGTCCATTTGGCACCTCGATCCCAGGAAGTGAATTCAGGTGTAGGTGGGAGGCCCCAGAGGGTGCTGGTGGCAGGGGATGGGACTCCTTGAGATCCCTCCCTGTCCCAGGAATGGGATTCAAGACTTGGGGAAAGGATTTCCTGAGCCAGTTTGAGCTCTAACGTGGACCTTGAATGGGGGTTTCCGAGATACCTCCTTCCCAGGGAGTAAGCGTGGGGCTGGGGTTTCTCCAGAGATGCTCTACCCGTAAGACAGGGCTCCAGACTCCGGTGGGGATGGCAGAGGCTCCTGCACCCCAGGAAACTCGTTAGGCCATGGGAGGGGGACTTTGATGAAGGTCTCATAGACAGCTCTTCCTCCGGGGGGGAAATGGAGGCTCCGGCCAGGTTCCTGAGACACCCCACGCCCAGGAAGTTTCTCAAGTCTGGAAGCGTCTCCAAATTGACTGCTGTCAGAAGATGAGTGTTTAAGACTTGCTAGGGGCCTTGGAAAATACCTCTAGCCCCTAGAAGGGAGTTAAATGGGAGTCCCTGGGTCATTTCTATCCCTGGGAAGGGGCTCAGTTTGGGGCCTTGTCTTTGGTTTCTAGTGAGGATATTCAGAGTTGTGGCAGAGAGCAGTTTGCAGCATCTGGGGCAGGGGTCTCTGAGTCTGCCCCCCACCCCCAGCTCACTCAACAGGTTGCATCAGCTCTGGGCTCGGGCTTGGGGGCCCAGGCGGGAAGGAGGGGGGTGAGGGCATTAGGAGGGGTGGGGCAACCGGCCGACACGTGTCCCTGCAAGGAGTGAGCCGCCTGGCCACGCGGTGAGGGTGGAGGGAAGTGGGGGGAGGGCGCGGAGGACCGGGGAATGAAAGATACAGACAGCAAGAGAGACAGCGTGTGTGAGTCTGGGGTCTGGGAGGAGAAGCTATCCTTTCTCCACGTGGTCGGTCGGCTCATCTGCCCTGGGGTCTGACTCTCTCTGGAGCTTTCTGTCTGTCTCACCCCCACTATTTCTCTCTTGCTGGCTTCTTTTTTCTGTGTCTCTCTGAGTAATGTTGGCTTCTCTCCTCTGATTCTTCATTCTCTCTCATCTCTTTCTCTGTTGGCCTGCTTCCATTTCTATCCCTGTCTGTTCCTGCTCCCCTGCCCCATCCTTTTCTCCCTCTTTCTGTCTGTGGGTCTCTATGGGGCTCCCCTCCCCCCTTCTTCAGCTCCCCTCACTTTGCAGCACCCCAATAGGATGGAACTGCAGGATCCAAAGATGAATGGAGCCCTCCCTTCAGATGCTGTGGGGTGAGTCAGGGGTCCAAGGAGGTGGGCTCAGGGGTCAGGGGTCAGGGTTACCCTTTTATCAGCTTCCATTTCCCTGCTCTATCCAGCTACAGGCAGGAACGTGAAGGCTTCCTGGCCAGTCGTGGTCCTGCTCCTGGGAGCAAACCAGTCCAGTTCATGGATGTGAGTGGCCCCACAGGATCTGGTCCAGTGGCACCTTCCCCAGCTAATCTCCTCCCTGCTCTGCTCCCTCTTCCCCACTCCTCCTCCCTGCTGTTCCCCTGCCCAGCTATCTCCCCACCACAGCTACACACTCCTCGGTCCTCCCCTCTCCAAATACTCCTTTCCCCCAGATATGCCCTTTCTAGCTCTCTCCCTGGCCTTGCTTCTCTGCACCCGCCGCCCAGTGGCTGCCCTCCCCAGCTGCTTCCCTCCCCCTATTCTTCCTCCTCCAGCACTCCCCATCCTCAACCCATCCCCATTCCCAGCGTCTCCCCTCACCAGTTGTTTGCCTCTGGTGCTGCTTCACCCTCCCCTGGTCCTCTCTATCCACTTCCAGTGGCTCCCTCCAAAGTTTGTCCTAGTTTCCCCCTTCTCAGCTCTTCTCTTCGCAGCCTCTTCCATCTTCAACTCTTCTTCCCTGCTAGCCTCTTCCGTCCTCAGATGGTCTCTCCTTGACTTCTCTCCACCCCGGCTTCTCTCCACCCCAGCTTCTCTCCACCCCGCTTGCTTCTTCTCCAGTCTTTCCCTGGCCCTGGCATTGGTCTCCTACCCGGTGCCCCCTCCCAGTGTGTGCCCGGGCTTTGCTCCTTGCGTGTAGTTCGAGGGGAAGACATCGTTTGGAATGTCAGTGTTCAACCTTAGCAACGCCATCATGGGCAGCGGCATCCTGGGGCTGGCCTACGCCATGGCCCACACAGGGGTCATCTTCTTCCTGTGAGTCCATAGGTGGCCTGCGGGACCAGTGGTGTTGCGGGGCGGGTGGGAGGCCTGTGGCCAGGTCTGAGCTGTGCCACCTGCTGCAGGGCCCTGCTGCTGTGCATTGCTCTTCTGTCGTCCTACTCCATCCACCTCCTGCTGACCTGCGCTGGTATTGTAGGTGAGACTCAGAGCCTGCATCCCAGTCCCCACAACACCCCTTTGGACCCCAGACTCTGGACTCACATTCAGAGCTCAACCCAGACCTTGGACCCCAGACCCCAAACCCAATTCCTTGACTGCAGACCCCAGATCCCGGACCCAGCACCCCAGAATCCAACCCCAGATGACTATACTCCACTTCTCACCCCACCCCTCAGTAACCAGACCCCCTTTAACCTGGAAGCCAGCCCCACAACCTCGAGACCCCCCACATCTCAGCACCCGGTTCCCCAGCTCCCACCATGGTCCCAGTCCATAGTCTGGCCCAGAGATCCCTTACTCTCAACTCCAGCCTTCATCCATTTCCCTGGCCTCAGATCCCACCTCCCAGACTCTGCCCCCAAACTCAACCCCAACTGCTTACCCCCCACCTCCAGCCTCCATCAGTCAAACCTGGTTCCCCTAAGCCCCAGCTCCCCAGCTCCCAGGCCCTCTGGCCTGCACCCCTAGCCTGGTCTCCTGGACCTACAACCTGTTCCTGCCTTCCCCCGCTAGGCATCCGAGCCTATGAGCAGCTGGGACAGAGGGCATTCGGGCCTGCGGGGAAGGTAGTGGTGGCCGCGGTCATCTGCCTGCACAATGTTGGGGGTGAGGACTCTGGGAGGTGGACGTCCGCTTGCGGGGAGAGGGTGGAGTGAGGTGGGCTTCCCTAGGCTGGGCTGGGGAAGATGGGGTGGGGACATGACGAGAATCCTTCTACTTATACCTCCCCCACCTGCACCAGCCATGTCCAGTTACCTGTTCATCATCAAATCTGAGCTCCCCCTGGTTATCGGCACCTTCCTGTACATGGACCCCGAGGGGTGAGTGAGCAACACCCCTTGGCTGGCCTGCAGCCCCTTGACTCTGCCTGCGAGGCCCGGCCAGTATCTTCAGTGCTGTGTGTGCAGCTGGCTCCCAGATGTTCCAGTTTGAGATGGCTGGGCAGGCCACTTGGGTCAGACTGATTCCTCTGCATGACTGTTGCTCTGACCACAGGAGTCTAGTTGACCGTGTGCTGATTTTGTGTCTCATTCTGGCTGCTTCTGGCTGGAGGCTGACTCTTTACGTCCAGTTTACTCTGCTGCTGACCACGTGTGTGTGAATGTACATAGCCGGTGGACTCAGACTCTGCCTGTGGGTTTGACTCCGTGTCTGCCATCCTGGCTGATTCTCTCAGGCTGGCTCTGTAATTGACTACAGCTGTGACCTGTATACTGTGATTCCAACCATACGTGTCTGACACTTGGTCACTCTGACTTCCCCATCCAGCTGATTGAGCTTGATTGTAGGTTCATTTGGCTGAATCTGTCTAGCTACAAGTGTACGATCGCTGACTCCAACATATACTATGGTACCAACTATGTGTGACTCACTCTGACTCTATGTGTCCAGCCAACTCCATCTCTGATTTGGTGGCTGTTCTGGTAAATTCTCTTTGCTGTGTGTGTGTGTGTGTGTGTGTGATTCCTGACTGATGATGTGTCCTCTGTATTATGGTTGCAACCATGTATGCTGGGCTGTTCTGATTATGTATCCAGCTGATTGTGTGTGAGTCTGGATCCACTGCGCTGGCTCAGTCTGTGTGGGGGTGTGTGCACGATGGGACTCCAGCAGGGCTAGTGTGTATGCACAGTATGCTGCAGTGCTTGTGCTCCAGCTGCACGTGTGTAGCTCTGTGTGTGTGTTTTATGCACAGCTTTGTGTGTCCAGTGGCTAACTCTGCCTCTGGTCCCATGGACTTTGCATAGTGTGTAGATGTGTCTCTGGTTTTGTCACTCTGACTCTGGGTTAGTTGGTCTCTGTGTCAGTCTGACAGGTTTTTTTTTTTTCGACGAAGTCTCACTCTGTGGCCCAGGCTGGAGTGCAGTGGCATGATCTTGGCTCACTATAACTTCTGCCTCCCGGGTTCAAGTGATTCTCCTGCCTCAGCCTCCTGAGTAGATGGAATTATAGGTGTGTACCACCGTGCCCAGCTAATTATTTTATTTTATTTTTTTGAGACAGAGTCTTACTCTGTTGCCCAGGCTGGAGTGAAGTGGTGCCATCTCGGCTCACTGCCAGCTCCACATTCGAGGTTCAAGCGACCCTTCCACCTCAGCCTCCCAAGTGGCTGGGAGTACAGGTGCCTGCCACCACGCCTGGTTAATTTTTGTATTTTTAGTAGAGACGGGGTTTTGCCATGTTGGCCAGGCTCATCTTGAACTCCTGACCTCAGGTGATCAGCCCACCTCAGCCTCCCGAGTTGCTGGGATTACAAGTGTGAGCCACTGCGCCCGGCCAGTCTGACAATTTTAACTGAGTGCTTGACTTTTATTGTTTGTGTGTATCCTTTCAGATCTTTGGCTTGATTCTGAGAACACTAGGTAGCTGATAATGTGACCACAGATGTGTCATTATTAGTTAGCTCCCATTGGTTTATTTCTGTGTAACTGTGTTTGAGATAGAAAGAGACTGTGTGAATGCCTAAAACACAGGCATTCAATCAAGTTCTTTTGAATGCGTGACCAGTTGTTTAGCTGATTCTGTCTTAACTGACTCTTGTCTGGTCACCTTCCTCCAACATCTGTGCAGATTCCACCCTTTCTCAGAGCTTGGTTCTAACAGTTTGGCCAGCTGGTTGATTTCATTTCTATTTCATTCTTTCTTTGGCTGTACGGCCAAATCAGTCCACAGGCATAGTTTCAGGCATCCAACAAATCTTGAGCTGTTCAAACAAGCATGTGTTTCTGACTTTTTGATTGACTCTGCATCATGGCTTGTCTACCGGATCATCAGACTATTATTGCTCTACCTGTCAAACATACCACGATCATGACTCACTTTCTTTGTGTCTGGCACCTTGTATTGGACTGATTTTCCTTTCTTTTCTTTTCTTTCCTTTTTTTGAGACGGAGTCTTGCTCTGTAGCCCAGGCTGCAGTGCAGTGGCACGATCTCGGCTCACTGCAACCTCCACCTCCCGAGACCTGGTTCAAGCAATTCTCCTGCCTCAGCCTCCTGAGTAGCTGGGATTACAGACATGCACCACCATGTCCAGCTAATTTTTGTATTTTTGGTAGACACGGGTTTTGTCATATTGGCCAGACTAGTCTTGAACTCCTGACCTGGTGATACTCCTGCCTTAGCCTCCCAAAGTGCTGAGATGACAGGCCTGAGCCACTGTACCCGGCCATGATTTTCTCCTTTCTTTCTTTCTTCTTTCTTTCTTTCTATCTTTCTTTCTTTCTTTCTTTCTTTCTTTCTTTCTTTCCTTCCTTCCTTCCTTCTTTCTTTCTTTCCTTCTTTCTTTCTTTCTTTCTTTTTCTTTCTTTCTTCTTTCTTTCTTTCTTTCTTTCTTTCTCTTTCTTTCTCTCTCTCCTTCTTCTTCTCTCTTTCTTTCTTTTACTTTTTCTTTCTATCTCTCTCTCTCTCTCTCTCTCTCTCTTTCTTTCTCTTTTGAGACAGCATCTCGATCTGTCTCCCAGGCTGCAGTGCAATGGTGCGATGTTGGCTCACTGCAACCTCCACCTCCTGGGTTAAAGTGATTCTCCTGCCTCAGCCTCTTGAGTAGCTGGGATTGCAGGCACATGCTACCACACCAGGCTGATTTTTTATATTTTTGTAGAAATGGGGTTTCACCATGTTGGCAAGGCTGGTATTGAACTCCTGACCTCAGGTGATCCGCCTGCCTCAGCCTCACAAAGTGCTGGGATTACAGGCGTGAGCCACTGCACCTGGCCTGGACTGAATTTCACATTGAGTCTGACCGATTTGGGTTGTTTGACCATCTGGTTGTACATCCACTTGTGAAGTCTGATGGCAAGTTTTGTCCAGCTGAGTATGTGTTTTTAGTTGTGTCCCACCGACCGTATCTGACAATCTCATAGTCAGCCTGTTTTTGTCAACCCTATTGTGCCATTTGTCACTGTAACCACCTGAATGACTTCTCACAGCTGAGGTTGTCAGCTTAACTCTCCTGACTTAGGGCAGAAAGCTGTCTGGCCGGCTGTCTTCTGTGAGTGTCTGCCTGACAGTTTCCTTTGGCTGGCAGCTAGGCACTGTATCTTCCTGTCTTTCTAGGGACTGGTTCTTGAAGGGGAACCTCCTCATCATCATTGTCAGTGTGTTAATCATCCTGCCCCTGGCCCTCATGAAACACTTGGGTAAGAGGCTCCCTGGGTTGGACATTGGATAGTGGGATTAGACAGAAGGAGCCAGACTGAGAAAACCCCCATTCATTGTCCAGGGCTGCAGAACACCAGAAGAGAGCTTATATGATGTGGGCTTTAACAGATTAGTAGGAGTTTGCTATGGTTTGCTATGGAGGGGAGGCTTTTGTGGGTGGAAGTAGAAGCTTATGCAAAGGTAATTGGGGTGGGCAGACATTGAAGGCCAGACTAGGTGTTTGGAGTTCACTTTGCGGGGGGGTCCATTGATTTCTTTTTGTTGTTGTTGTTGTTGTTGTTTTTGAGACAGAGTCTCGTTCTGTCACCAGGCTGGAGTGCAGTGGTGCTATGTCGGCTCACTGAAACCTCCACCTACTGGGTTCAAGCAATTTTCCTGCCTCAGTCCTCCTAGTAGCTGGGACTACAGGCATGTGCCAACACACCCAGCTAATTTTTGTATTTTTAGTAGAGACGGTGTTTTGCCATGTTGGCCAGGCTGGTCTTGAACTCCTTATCTCAGGTGATCCACCTGCCTCAGCCTCCCAAAGTGCTGGGATTACAGGCATGAGCCACTACACTGGGTCGATTTCTGAGACTCTGTTTTGCCCCTCTTAGGCTACTTGGGGTACACCAGTGGTCTGTCCCTGACCTGCATGCTGTTTTTCCTTGTTTCGGTGAGTCACAGAGAAGCGGGGAGAGAGTTTGGGACATTGGAACATAGCCTCCCCCATGACCTGGCTTCTCTGCTGCCCCCATCTTTAGGTCATCTACAAGAAGTTCCAGCTTGGCTGTGCTATAGGCCGCAACGAAACAGCAATGGAGAGTGAGGCTCCTGTGGGACTCCCCAACCAAGGGCTCAACAGCAGCTGTGAGGCCCAGATGTTCACAGTTGACTCACAGGTATGTGTGCAGGCGTGTAGGAGGTTGCAGCATGCTCAGGCCCTCTGGTTCTGTCATATGGAGCATCCTGCTCAGAGTGGAGCTGGATATTGGACATTGGGAGCTTCTGTGTGTCTGATATGGAGGGCGATGACGGGGTGGAAGGGGGATGGGGAGAAGGGGATGGACCACTGTGGGCTCTAATCCCAGGTATTCTGGTATTCCCTAGATGTCTTACACAGTTCCCATCATGGCTTTTGCCTTCGTCTGCCACCCTGAGGTGCTGCCCATCTATACGGAGCTCTGCCGGTGAGTGGGCAGGCAACTGGGCCTGCATGTTGGGGAGCAGGTGCAGCGGTAACCAGAATGTCTGACACTCCCTCCAGTAGTCCTGGGGCTGTAGCTTGGCATAAGCTAGGTTGTGCCATGGGAAGAGTTTGGGATGGCCATGAGGTCTTGGGGAACTCAGGGTAGTGACTGTTTGCTGATCAGGACTTAAGTATTCTCCTGTTTTAATATCAAGCACAAATGTGGATGGACAGAGTTGGGAAGCAGAGATCAGATGATCAGATGGAGGGACTGATATGCATGGCTGCTGATATGGGGATGGGGAGGTACAGACAGACAGAGGAGGAGGCAGGGATGGTATGATGGAGTTTGTGTGAATGATCAGACAGAGGGACAGCATGGATGGTCAAATGGAAGAGTCAGTGACAGGCTGGGCGCAGGCTCACGCTTGTAATCCCAGCACTTTGGGAGGCCGAGGCGGGTGGATCACCTGAGGTTGGGAGTTTGAGAGCCTGACCAACATAGAGAAACCCCGTCTCTACTAAAATTACAAAAAATTAGCCGGGCGTGGTGGTGCATGCCTGTAATCCCAGCTACTCGGGAGGCTGAGGCAGGAGAATAGCTTGAACCTGGGAGTTGAAGGTTGCGGTGAGCTGAGATTGCGCCATTGTACTCCAGCCTGGGCAACAAGAGAGAGACTTTGTCTCAAAAATAAAAAAAGGAAGAGGCAGTAGCAGTCAAATGCAGAGCAGAGGCAGAGATGGTCATATGGGGCGAGATATGGACGGTCAGAGAGGGGGTTTTGGCTAGTCACAGGGGAGACAGAGGTGGGTGTCCCCATGTGTACCAGCTGAATGTCAGTCTGGGAGAAGGGGACTCTGGAGGGTGGAGGCTGGCTTTGAGAGACCTGGGCCAAGTCCCAGAGTCTGGGCATGACAGTTGCACAACCTCTACACTTCAGGCCCTCCCAGCGCAGGATGCAGGCTGTGGCCAATGTGTCTATTGGGTCAATGTTCTGTATGTATGGGCTCACAGCGACCTTTGGATACCTCACCTTCTACAGTGAGTGGGGCTGGGGGTAGGGCTGGGGGGAGGGGGAAGGCCTAGGGCGGGAGCCTCTGAGCCCTTTCCTTCCGTGACCATGACCTGCCAGTTTCCAAAGGGAAGGTGTGCTTCACTTGTGTGGATTTTGTCACTGTGCATGTATGTATGGGTTTCTGGGGCATTGGTCCTGGTACTCTTGCCACATCTTGCATCCCACATCCCCTGTCCCATGGCCCAGGCAGCGTGGAGGCAGAGATGCTGCACATGTACAGCCAGAAGGACCCGCTCATCCTCTGCGTGCGCCTGGCCGTGCTGCTCGCTGTGACTCTCACTGTGCCAGTTGTGCTGTTCCCTGTGCGTGGGGCCCATGGGGCAGAGGGACATGGATGGATGGGTAGAGGGCATAGGATGTGTGGGTGGAGGCTGCAGACAGGAGTGGATGGATGGATGGATGAAGGAGGTAAGGATGGACAGACAGGAAAGGGCAGCATTGTCAGATGGACAGAGACGGCAAAAATTGATGGTCAGACAGAAGCGGGAGGACATAGCAGGAAAGAGAGGGTCAGGGTACAGCGTACTCAGTTGGAGGGAGGAGGCACAGATGGATGGCTAGACAGAAGAGGGAGGCAGGAAGGGTCAGTTGGAGGGTAGAATGAAGAAACAGGGATGGACAGAGAAAGGGTGGAGGCTGAAGTGGTGGGATGTAGGAGGGACAAGGCTCTGAGATGGGGAGGTGGAAATAATTAGACAGAGGATGGAAGCAGAGGTCAGATGGAGAGAGGCAGGGAGCTCAGACAGGGTAGAAGGATGGGTAGATGGTCAGACAGAAGAGGAGACAAAGATGGTCAGCTAGAGGAGGAGGCAGGGATTTCAGAGAATGGGTGGAAGTGCCGATGGGTGTTCAGACAGAAGGAAGAGACGTGGATTGTCAGAGGATGGAAGCAGGAAGCCCGTTCAGAAGATGGAGACACAGATGCTGGGTTAGGCAGGGTGGAGCCATAGATAGTCAGAGGGAGGGGAAATCAGGGATCGAAGACAGAGGGTGGAGCTAAAAACAGATGATCACTTGGAAGGGAGCAGCACTTGGGTCCTGACTTCTGTCCCATCCTACTCTGGCCACAGATCCGCCGGGCCCTGCAGCAGCTGCTTTTCCCAGGCAAGGCCTTCAGCTGGCTGCGACATGTGGCCATAGCTCTGATCCTGCTTGTTTTGGTCAATGTCCTTGTCATCTGTGTGCCGACCATCCGGGATATCTTTGGAGTTATCGGTCAGTATCTGTCACCCCAGTCCTATACTCCATCTAATATGGGCCTTGTATCCAAGCCAGGTTGACTCTTGTTCCTGCTTGTCCTCCAGGGTCCACCTCAGCCCCCAGCCTCATCTTCATCCTCCCCAGCATCTTCTACCTCCGCATTGTACCCTCTGAGGTGGAGCCTTTCTTATCCTGGCCCAAGATCCAGGTAAGCATTCCAGGGCAGAGCTGGGGAGAGAGGGAGCACTCAAAGATGGCTGGAGGTGAAAGGGACATGCAGAGGAGAGGCTGGGAGAGCATCTGAAAGAATGGTCTGGAAGAATGAAGGTGATTGTCTTAGGAAGGGGCAGAGGAGACAGCACCAGCAGGGTCTGGGAAGACAGGGAGCACTCAAACAGGGGCTGGCATCGAGGGAGGATTCTCCAGACAGATGGAAGGAGCACTATTGGGAAGAGAGCTTGGAGCACTTTCAAGAAGAAGGATGGAGGAATGTACTCTCTCATGGGTTCTGGGAAGATGGAAGGAGGACTCACAGGAAGGGGCTAGTTGTAAGGAAGGAGAGGGCACACAGAGGAGGGTCAGGAATGGATAGAGCACTCTCTGAAGGAGGTGGAAGACTTGAGAACATTCTCAGAAGGCATTTGGGTGAGGTGTCTCAACTGGCCCCATCTTGTCTCTCTGGCCCACAGGCCCTGTGCTTTGGAGTCCTGGGAGTCCTCTTCATGGCTGTCAGTCTAGGCTTTATGTTCGCCAACTGGGCCACAGGCCAGAGCCGCATGTCTGGACACTGACCAGGCCCTGCTGGCCCGGGTCCTCGTGCGCATGCACATGGAGGGGCCGGGGCCGCTCCCTAGGGTCCCTCGGTGGAGATGGCTGGTTCCCATGAATGTGGTTGTCAGAGGTGGGGGACAGCAGAGGCTGCAGACTGGCCCACTTCCCTCCTCCCCAGGGATGCCAAGCATCGATCATGGCCCTAATCCCAACCCCAACCCCACAAGAGGAGGAGGAGGAAGAAGAAGAGGAGGAAGCCAGGTCCTGGCAGAGCCTTTGCCTAGCCCAGTCCTCTCTGCCTCCTCCTGGCTGAAGCCATTTGTCAGGATTACCCTTGGGCCAAAGCGGAAAAATAAAGATGTTGAGATACAACTCTGGACTCAGCCTTCTGATCTTTCTCTTGAGACTCGTTGGTGGAGCCTGCTGGAGTCCAGGCTGGAGCACACTGAAACCCTGCGAGTAGGACAGTGTCTGCTCATGTGCTCACTCCCTTCACTTTTCCAGTAACCTGCTACTCAACTTCACATATCACTCACTTGGCCAGGAGCAGTGACACACGCTTGTAATCCCAGCCCTTTGGGAAGTCAAGGCAGGCAGATCACTTGAAGTCACAAGTTCGAGACCAACCTGTCCGTGGCAAAACCTGGTCTCTACTAAAAAATACTAAAATTAGCTGGACGAGGTGGTGTGCGCCTATAGTCCCAGCTACTTGGGAGGCTGAGGTAGGAGAATTGCTTGAACCTGGGAGGCAGAGGTTGCAGTGAGCCAAGATCGTGCCACTGTACTCCAGCCTGGGCAATGCAGTGAGACTCCATCTCACACATACAAAAAAAATTCAGTCATTCACTCAGTAAACATCTACTGAAAGCCTACTGGGTGCCAGGCACTGTTCTAGGTGCTGGGGATATAGCAGTGAATGAAGCAGACAACAGTGCCCTGGAGTTGATGTTCTGGCACAAGATTGGGCAAATCTAGCCTGCTGTCTATTTAAGTATGGCCCTTGAACTAAGACTGGCTTTCATATTTCCAAATGATTGAAAAAAGGTGGACCCAGCACGGCAGCTCATGCATGTAATCACCAGCACTTTGGAAGGCTGAGGCCGGACGGTCATTTGAGACCAGACTGGGCAACATGGCAAGTCCCCATCTCTACAAAAAAATATTAAAAGAAATAGCCGGGTGTGGTAGCGTATGCCTGTAGTCCCAGCTACGTGGGAGGCTGAGGTGGGAGGATTGCTTGAGCCCAGGAGACTGAGGCTGTAGTGAGCCATGATCACGCCGCTGGACTCTAGCCTTAGTGACAGAGTGAGATTCTGTCTTAAAAAGAAAAGGGGCTGGGCGCCGTGGCTCACGCCTGTAATCCCAGCACTTTGGGAGGCTGAGGCAGGCAGATCGCCTGACATCAGGAATTCTAGACCAGCCTGGCTCACATGCTGAAACCCCATTTCTATTAAAAATACAAAAATCAGCCAGGCATGGTGACACATGCCTGTAATCTCAGCTGCTCAGGAGGCTGAGGCAGGAGAATTGCTTGAACCCGGGAGGTAGAGGTTGCAGCGAGCCAAAATCATACCACTGCACTCCAGCCTCTGTCTCAAAAAAAAAGGAAAAAAAAGGAAAAAAATTATTAAAAGAAATAATATTCTGTGACAGTTGGAAATTATATGAAATTCAACTTTCAGTGTCTAAATCATTTACATATCAATTTCAGTGCCTGTAAATTATTTACATATCATTTACAGTGTCTTCTTCATTTACATATTGTTTATGGCCTTCTTGTGCAGGGCTGAGGAGTCGCAACAGAGACCATACGGCCTGCAAAGCCTGAGCTATTGGCTCTCTGGCCCTTTTCCAAAAAGTTAGCTGACCTCTGACCTGTAATCCCAGCTACATGGGAGGCTCAAACAGGAGAATCACCTAAACCTGGGAGGCAGAGGTTGCAGTGAGCCAAGATCACGCAACTGCACTCCAGCCTGGGAGACAGAGACTGTCTTGGGGTTCAAAAAAAGTACAGAACATTTCCATCACCACAATGCTATCCCTGGTGCTACTCAGTTTTAATAATACTCTCCTCCCATTCACCATCCCTAACCCCTGGTAACCACTCATCTGCTTTTCATTTCTACAATTTTGTTTTTTCTAGAATGCTATATAAATAAAATATTATAGTATATAACATTTTAGAGACTTATTTCACTCCGCGTAATTCCCTGGAGATTCATCCAAGATGTTAGTATTTGTGTGTCAATAGTTCATTTTTATTACTGAGTAGTATTCCACAGTATGGATGTACCACAGTTTGACCATTCATTTATTGTAGAAAATATTGATTATTCCAGCTTTTGGCTATTACAAGTAAAGCTGCTATGAACAATTATGGACAAGTTTCTGGATGGGCATAAATTTTAATTTCTCTGAAGTGCAATTGTTGAATTGTATGGTCATTGCATGTTTAGTTTTATAAGAAATTACCAAACTGTTTTCCAGAGTGGCTGAAAGATTTTACCTTCCCAGCAGCATTTTACGAGATGTCCAGTTTCTCTGCATCCTTGTTAGCATTTGGTGTTGTCACTATGTCTTTCATTTTAGCTGTTGCAATAAGTGAGTAGTGATACTTCATCGTGGTCTTAATTTGCATCTAGTAAAGCAAATTAGTGTTGAACATCTTTTCATGTGCTTATTTGCTTATTTCTTCTTCAGTGAAATGTATGTTTATATCTTTTGATCATTTTCGAATTGGATTATTTGTTTGATTTTTTTTTTTCAAGACAGAGTCTCACTCTGATACCCAGGCTGGAGTGCAGTGGAATGATCTTTGCTCACTGCAACCTCTGCCTTCCAGGTTTAAGCGATGCTCATGCCTCAGCCTCCTGCGTAGCTGGGATTACAGGTGCGCACCATCATGCCTAATTTTTGTATTTTTAGTAGAGGTGGTTTTTTGCCATGTTGCCCAGGCTGGTCTCAAACTCCTGGCCTCAAGGGATCTGCCCTCTGTCCACCTTGACCTCCCAAAGTACTGGGATTACAAGTATGAGCACCATGCCCCGCCTACCCTACCGTTGAGTTTTGAGAGTACTATACATATCCATTATAGATTCTGGATGTGAGTGCTTTGTTGGATATGTGGTCTGCAAACATTTTCTCCCAGTCCATACCCTGTTTTTTCATCCTTTAAACAGGATTTCTTGCAGAGAAAAAGTTTAAGAATGGATGAAATCTAATTTATTTTTTTTCCTTATGGATTATGCTTTTCGACCATTTACTGTTCCCTAGATCTCAGACGTTTCTCCTATGTTTTCTTGTACAAGATTTTTTAGTTTTATATTTTAGATTTAAGTCTATGATCTACTTGAGTTATTCTTTTTTATAAAGGTATGAAGATAAGGTCATTTTTTTTTTTTTTTGGCCTATAGATATCCAACTGCTCCAGCACCATTTGCTAAGCAGATGATCCTTCCTTTTCTTTTCTTTTTCTTTTTCTTTTTTTTTTTTTTGAGACAGAGTTTCACTCTTGTTACCCAGGCTGGAGTGCAATGGCGTGATCTCGGCTCACCTCAACCTCCGCCTCCTGGGTTCAGGCAATTCTCCTGCCTCAGCCTCCCGAGTAGCTGGGATTTCAGGCACCTGCCACCACATCCAACAAAAGGTTCTCTATTTTGTTCCAGTGATCTATGTGTATATTCTTCTCCCAATATTACACAGTCTTGATTTCTGTAGCTATATAAGAAGTATTGAAATGTGGTAGAGACGTTCCTCCCACCTTATTCTTTTTCAAAAATTGTCCTAGCTACATAGATATATTTTTTGAGATGGAGTCTCACTTTTGTCCCCCAAGCTGAAGCTCAGTGGGGTGATCTCGGCTCACTGCAACCTCCGCCTCCCAGGTTCAAGCCATTCTCCTGCCTCAGCCTCCCGAGTAGCTGGGATTTCAGGCACCTGCCACCACATCCAGCTAATTTTTGTATTTTTAGGAGAGACAGAGTTTCACCAAGTTGGCCAGGCTGGTCTCGATCTCCTGACCTTAAGCAATCCTCCCGTCTTGGCCTCCAAAAGTGCTGGGATTACAGGCATGAGCCACAGTGCCTAGTGTTGTCTTAGCTATTGACAATCTGTTACAGCAATAATCAAAAATGAGTACACTTAGAAACAGATTAATTAATGAAACAAAATAGAAAGTCAAGAAACAGACTAATTTATGTGCAAACTTCAGCATGCATTTCCAAACAGTGGCCAAAAGATGGGCTGAATAATAAACGATTGCTTGACAAGTGTCTATCCATTTGAAAAATTAAACGTTAAATCCTTACTTTAAACCACATAAAACAATAAATTCTAAAAATTCAGAGACTTATATGTGAAAATGTGAGGTCATAAAGAACTAGATGACAATTTAGGAAAATATTACAGTATAATACATCTTGAGTTGGCACTTCCTGACATTATACCAAGGCTGTGAACAATGAATCTGACATATTTAAAGATGTAAAAATTAAAGTATCTAAGTCAAAAGACACCATAAACAACTGTTTAAAAAGGCAAATGTTGGGGAAAATGGTGACACATCCGCAACAAATTAAACGTAACCATCTCTAATATACAACAGCTTTTGCATATCAATAATAGGAACTGGAACAACCCAATGAAAAACTGTGTTCAGGCACGGCACTACTTCACAGTGTAGCAAAAAAGGATTAAGAAATATAAAGTATAAAAGGAAAACAATAAAAGAAATGGAGACTAGATTCCAGAAGTTTCAACGTTCATCCAATAGACTTTCCAGACATAGATAATAGAAAGACTAAGCCATGCACGGTGGCTCACGCTTGTAATCCTAGCACTTTGGGAGGCTGGGGCAGGTGGATTACCTGATGTCAGGAGTTTCAGACCAGCCTGGACAATATGATGAAACCCCGACTCTACCAAAAATACAAAAATTAGTCAGGTGTGGTGGTGGGCACCTGTAATGCCAGCTACTTGGGAGGCTGATGCACAAGAATCACTTGAACCTGGGAGGCGGAAGTTGCAGTGAGCTGAGGTCGTGCCACTGCACTCCAGCCTGGGGACAGAGCAAAACTCCATCTCAAAAAAAAAAAAATAGACTGGAGAGAAGGCAGTACTTGAAGAAATAATGTTCTAGAATTTTCTGAACTGAACAAAGACATGAATCTTTAAACTGAAAATAGCCACCTAGTTCTGAGCCTGCTTAACACAAGTGTGCACGCGTGCACACACACACGTGTGCGTGTGCACACACACTCTCCCTAGGAGTAAAATTTCTAGGATAACGATACAATCTTGAAAGATCCCAGAGAGAAAGAGAGAAGAGAGAATGGAATGGAGAAGTTTTTCAAGCAGCTGATTAAAAATAACTT